GGTATATTTCAATTAAAAGGATTTAAGCAGTCTCAAAGTTATAATATCTGCCACTTTTCTGAACACTCTTTTTGTGTTTATTAATACTATTTGATTTATTTGATCAAAAATACAGTAAATTGCGAAATATTATTGCAGTTTTAATAGTTTTTCTTTTGCAGCTGCTATAAATTGCAGCTTTGATCACAGGAATACATTACATTTAACCTTAGTCACATTGACTGTAAAAAATATTTTCAAGATTTGTTATCACAACATATTTTCTTTTGTCAAATCAACTTTATAATAATTTATTTAGTTGAGATAACTTGTTATTTTGAGTTTCTGATGGTTAAATTAATCTCCTTCATTGTATTAACTCACTTTTTCCAGTTCAATCAACTTAAAATTTGAAGGCAACCCAGGTTACTTACTTTTTTAAGTTAAACCAACAATATTTTTTACAGTGTAGTAATCACAACATTTTTTCTTTTGTCACATCAACTTAAATAATTTATTTAATTCAGATAACATATAATTTTGAGTTTCTGATGATTAAATCATTCTCCTTTTTCCTATTAACTCAATTTTTCCATTTCAAAGTACTTAAAATTTTAAGGCAACCAGGTCACTTATTTTTTTAAGTTAAACCATCAATTTTTTTACAGTCTACAATATTACTGTATTTTTAAACAAATGAAGCCTACACTCTAAAAAATGCTGGGTTGTTTTAACCCAACTTTGGGTCAAATATGGACTAACCCAGCCGTTGGGTTAAATTTTTACATTACATTTTTAACCCAACATTTCGGGTTTGTCCATATTTGACCCAAAATTGGGTTAAAACAACCCAGCATTTTTTAGAGTGTAGACATCTTTCAAAAACATTAATATATGAAGAGTTCAGATGCAAAAGCCTCTAAATGCCATTTGAAATTTTCTTCTAAAATGACCATTTTTATCAAGCTTGTATATTTAAGTTCAGTAATTTCACTTAAATGACAATTAATAGGTAATCTTCATTGCCATTCAAGTGAAATTACTGAACTTAAATATACAAGCTTGATAAAAATGATCATTTTAGAAGAAAATTTCAAATGGCACTTAGAGGCTTTTGCATCTGAACTCTTCATATATATATATATACATATATATATATATATATATTTATTTATTTATTACAAACTTTTGATCGGCAGTGTATTTTCCCCTCCATAATGTCATGAAATGAAGATTAAAAAGTTGAAATGATACTCATGAGCGTCCTGACAGCTGGAGAGCAGTCAGTGATAAAGTTTGACAGCGAGAACAACAGAGGATATCAGATGTTGGGCTCTTTTGAACACTCGTTTTCTGCCTGTTATTCGTTCGTTCGGCCTGTGTTGTGTGACTGACTGACTCTTTTGTCATCGATACATTGTAAATCAGTACATTTTGGAGGGAAACCGATAGCACATCTGTGACACACACACACTGCGCCCTTAGGGTCAAACCCCTGTCTGACCAGACACAACAGTGTGTGTGTGTGTGTTTGTGAGGGTGTGTTTTGTGTTCCTGACTCGTCAAGAAGTTCCCTCCAAAATGTCTTTTCTCATTCATCGGCCCAGCCGCCTCCCTCAGGGACTAAACACACACACACCTCCTTCAGACGACTGTGTGTGTGTGTGTGTGTGTGTGTGTAGCCTCACAGGGGCTCACCGCTGCAGACACAGCGGGGGAGAGATGCTACCGCCACTCTCTCTGAAAACACACTGAAAAGATTGCAAACTGAAAGAGAGCTCCTTTTGTCACATATACAATGTACAAGAGTGGAAGCTCAATTGACCTGACTAGCTTGTGTTGTGTGAGGCGTTTGCTATAAACAGATGATAAACAAATAAAGCAGGAAGTGTATTGAAATGATGTTCTGTTCAGGTCTAGAAGTTTTTTTTTTTTATTATTATTAATTGAAATGTAGATCTGCCTTGATCATCCCATGCACCCCATGTTGACATGCATCAGTTTTAAAATGCATGCACAATCATAATTGCATAGATATATTTATGTTGTCAAATATTTGAAATATATATATATATATATATATATATATATATATATATATATATATATACACTGTAAAAAATATTGTTGGTTTAACTTGGTAGTAACCTGGTTGCCTTTATTTTAAGTTCATTGAAATGGAAAAATAGAGTTAATACAATAAAGGAGATTGATTTAATCATCAGAAACTCAAAATATTAAACTACATAAATTACCTAAGTTGATTTGACAAAAGAAAAATGTTGTGATTACAAATCATGAAAATATTTTTTTTACAGTATATATATATATATATATATATATATATATATATTAGGGCTGTCAAACGATTAATCGCATCCAAAATAAAAGTTTGTGTTTACATAATATGTGGGTGCACTGTGTATAATTATATATATATATATATATATATATATATATATATATATAAACACACACATGCTTGTATATATTTAAGAAATATTTTCATGTATGTACTGTATATAGATTTTTATATAATTTATATTGTATATAAATATAAATATTTTATATATAATTAATATTGTTTCTTAAATATACATGCATGTGTGTGTTGGGGGTGGGCTCATCTTTTAGAGGGAATCCCTTCCCTCCTGTTATCTTTGTGACTGTGTTAATGTGTGTGTGAGGTATAATTATACTTACACGGTATGATTAAAATTCCAATATTGTTCTAATTATTTTATTGCATGCACCTTTGTGCAAATATGTATATTTTATTGTGCATACATTTATATATTGCTTAACTTTTTTTTAAAAAGCAAAACAAAAAAATATGTTCTGTAAATGTTTAGTTGTAGGTATTTTCCCACATCAGTTTTAACCGTCGGGGTCTGGGGTGTGTTCAATTCACTAACCTTAAATGTGAGCACTAATAAAAGGGATGCTTGTGTTAGCCAGCTTCACTAATAAACCCCCGTGAGCGCTGGAGTAGTGACTGAAGCGTCTCCCCGGGGCAGGGAGTTTTTATACTCCTCCTCCTTAAACAGGAAACATTAATTAGAGGGTGTGCGTGACCTTTGACCCCACAGCTGAGGGCAAAAGTGACCCCTCGCTATAGTACAGGAAGGAAAAACTCACAAAAACACACATGACTGAGAGCTGGGTGCATTTTAACACACCGTCCTTCAGTCAATGGAAATGGAAATGAATTAACACTTTGATTTGATGAGACATGAGATACTTATGAATGAGTGTCAATGAATGAGCCGTTCGTCACATTCTGTCAGGCTGCCAAAGCACAAACACACATGCACACACTCACACACACAGTAATTGTGGGACATTGCAGTCTTTTGTGTGTCCTGCTCAGTGAAGTGGCAGCTCTTGTTGAGATTAGCAGGATTACCTGAAACTGTGCCAAACGCACAGAAACGGTCTTTTCTCTTTCCTTCCTCCAGTTTTCAAGGAAACGCTCTGTGCAAAAGTTCAAAAGTATGAATACGGCAGGGTTGGGGAGGTTATTGTGTGTGATTTTACTTTGCTACTTTGGGGCAGTGTTGGGGAAAGTTACTTTTTCACTATATGTAAGTAACTAATTGCATTACGTAGTTATCTTTTATGGAAAGTAATTAGTTTTTTTGAAAAAAAAAAATACTTTAGTGTTGTTTTTCCTCTCCTGGGCTGTGCTTGCTTGTTTGTTTATTAATAACAACAACAAAAAAGTCATATTTTTGGCAAATGTAAAGGCCCTTCCACACCAAAAGGAAAGGAAATGCACATTCACACCAGCTCAATCTCAACACTCTTCAGCAATAAAAACAAAAAATGAAACACAAATGTGATGTTTACCTTAAAGGGATTGTTCACTTTGAATGCATTTTTGATATGTTTTAGCTTTCCTCAAGGCCATCCAAGATGTAGGTGTCTTTGTTTCCGCAGTATTTTCAATTTTGATATTTTTAGCTCAAACCGTTCGTGTCTGTCAGTCATATAATGGAGGTCTATGGTCACCACCTCAAAGAACATGCACAGAGAAGTCCAAATTAAACATGATTTAAAGACTCGTAAATGTAAGTACACATTGATGGCCTAAGACACGAAACGAGCGGTTTGTGTGAGAAAACCAACAGTATTTATATCGTTTTTACCTCTTGTAACCGCAGCCACGTCCAAGTACTCTGATGGCGCGGACACTTCGGTATAAAACATACCAAAATTTAATTTCAAAGTGAACTATCCCTTTAAGTCACTTTTGCTTATTTGTATTGTTGAATTGGACAATCGAAGGTCAGCAGCAAAGAAGTAAGATTAAATACATGTTTGTGTACTTAAACATATTTAGTTGTTGCAGGTTTGCATAATATTCAGATTTAAGTTGAAGATTTTGAAATATTATGTGCTTTTGTTGTTTTTGTTATTAGTTTCTATTCAGCTTGTTCAAAACTTATTTCAGTTAGTTGACGTTTTTCATCTAAAATGTATAATTATTTCAATTACAGAAAATGATTTTTTTTTATTAATATTTTAGATTTAGTTCGAATGTGTCAATGACCTAAACAACAGCTTGCCGAGTGTTGGGATGATTTAGTCCGAGAGAGATGTGGTGAATATCTTCCATGGTGATGTTATGAAAGTCTGTGTCAGTACTTTGACTTGATACTGAAAATCTGGAGTCGAGGCCTTGGTGTTTGGGGGATCTGCTGATGAGTGAACATCACAGCTGTGCAGATCTGAATAACAGTGTGTGTCTATGTTTATGTGTGTGTTTGCTTATGGGATCAGAGTCTTAATCCTGCTGCTGAATTGGACACACACACACACACATGATAATTGTTTTGTGCACAGGATCTAAATGTGATCTATAGAGATGTGATTGTAGAAATGCCATTTAGTTTCCTTTCTTAAAGTGTGAATACCCAAGTATTTTCAAAGGACTGAAGGCTTGACGATTTAAGTCATGGTTTTTGACATTGCTACTCTACCTTAAACTGCATTTTGCTCTTTGTCTTTCAGATCTGGAGCCATTGTAAATGAAAGGATACACCTGGAGTCCATGAAATGTTTTGAAAACCCTTTCATGATTGGATTGATCAGCATTAGAGAAACAACACATCTTTTGCATGGTTTATCTTGTATGTCCTAGGCTTTTTTCTGTTTTACCCCCCTCATTTAAACAGTTTTTAAAGACTAATTTAAACAGTCTTGTGAATACATTTTTCTATTATACCTTTATATTTTTTGCTACTAACGAACTGATCAACAGGCTATCTACTTAGGCATCAACCATCACAAACAACAGAAAGTAAACAATTTACAGTTTTAATCACGTTATTTGTGCACCATGATGACAACAGTGCTTATACAGCTTAGCATTATGTAAAATGTAAATACGCTAGCATATTTTTATTGAGCATTATTTCCAATCAAACTGTAATTTATATTAAGTTTTTCAAAACGTGTCTTAAGTTAATTTTTATTTGTATGCATTTAAATACATAAATAGTTAAAGTCATAATTAGTAGTTGCAAGACGAGTATTTTTATTTAATATTCTATCCTCAGAACGTATTCAACTCATAGTTTTAGATCATGTGGTGGAAATTGTCTTTGGAAAATTTGACAAAATACGACACAAATTCCCTGAGGTGAATGTTTATAGTTAGTAGACAAATTAAGTAAACGACTGAGAGTGTTAAAAGTGTATGTAAGATATGTTTTTCTTCTTCTAAAAGTCCTGGAACGAGGCTAGGTGAGCGCAGGTAAACATCTGCAGCGCCCCCTACAGCACTGTGGTGGAATAACCAGGTGACCGAAAAATAAACGATACAAACATAATATTGATTATACCGAAGACCTGGCTGAAACCATTAGAAATGTGCTTCTAATGGTTGTCATCTTGTGTGGCTACAAATAAATGGTATAACTTCACTCTATGAAACGCGATTGATATGTGATATTGGAAACTTGGAACATTTTAGAAATGTATAGTCGCATAAAGTCACGCAAAGGCTTATAGATATTTAAAGTTATAGATACTGTTGTAGCGTATAATTAAACCGTTTCATTTGTGATACTACTTTCAGGACATCTGAAACTTGACGGGTTATGTGATTTTTGGCAAATGCTGGACCGCTTCACTTCATGTGCACTAGAGGGCGCGATTGAGCTTTACACGTTCACAACCTGCATCAGGTAAGTAAGAGTGATGAAAAAACGAATGTTTACCTCAGGAAGGTTGTAGAGACTATTATTATTCATCATGGCTACTAACCCATACCCTAAAAAACAAAGGGGAAAACATTACGTGACATTTATTTTTGTTTTACCACTTTTTACATGTTAAACGTTCAGCATATTTATTGCTGTTGGCTATATATCGTATGTATTGCTATATTTATATATTTTATCTATATTTTCTGCCTTATTTAATGAAGAAGATGCCACAGAATTATACTCTTTACTGTGAAAGGTTCTTTTATACCAGATTATATTGTTCTCTGTAGTTTTTAATTGGTTGACCATTCGTTGTAACTGAAATGTATTGATAGAGAAGTTTAGAGAATATATATTTTTTAGCGATAATAATCTAATTAGGTTTGTTTTAACAAGTTAAAACCACAAAGAGAACAGTGAACAGTTATTTATTTAGATAGATTTTTTTTAAAGCCAGTGTGTTTTATTATGTTTCCAACCCAATGTTTAAAATCAGAAATTTTAAATGTCTTTAACCATTTGTCTTGGCAAATGTCAAATCAGGTTTAGTTCTTTTACATTTGCTGTAGGTAATAGTTGTTAAGTTAAACATAATTGAGACATTCATCGGCACTGACTTTTTAAAAATGAAATAATTTTTTGATGCCAGATTCCTAATAATAATCATGGATGGCATGTGTGTTTGACCTCTCTGTGGTGCGCATCTTGTGTTTGTGGCAGGCGACCTTTCAGGTGCATGTGTTGAAAGCGGGCGTGTCGAGTGTGTGATGCTCATCCCTGAAGCTTTGACCTTTCAGTGTGGAGGAGCTTCTGCTCAGGTACGGCTCACGGTCAGGGTTCACCTTTATCACAGCAGAGCAACACGTCACGACCAATACTGTAGACCTGTAAGCACGTATCACCACGCATCAGCTCAAACCGCTTTACCCCACATCCTAAACAAATCATTAACCTCTTTCACATAATCTGTCCGTCAGTATTTATTCTGTCGCACCTTACCTAAATCTCTTCCTCCGCCACTGTCTTACAACGCAGACAATTCACACAAGCACTAATATCATTTGAAATATTTATTGCAGGATGTTTTATGTACAGATTTGTAAGCATCTTAAATGCACACTGATGAAACGATAATGTGAGATTTGCAGTATCATACTTTAATTTCATTGTGTGACAGTGAAACAATCATCTCTTTAGATTATCTTATTTAAAATGTTGATTATTTACAGAAGACAAAAAGTCTTAAAAAAACATCAGAACTGAGTAATAAAATGCTAAATAAATAAATATGTAATAAATAAATAAATTACAAACAAATACATTAAATAAATACCATTGTAGTTCCTTGACCCTTAATAATTTCCGTCCTGTAGCTGGACTTTCTCGGCACAATGATTTTAATTTAAATAATCATCAATAAGTCAGTGCATGTACTTTGTCCTTCTCCATCAGCTCTTTTTGGCATAAGGTGCTTGATTTTGTCTTCGCTTTACTTGATATTTCATATCAGACCGTTTATTTTGTACATGGTATAGCGTTTACATGTTAATCTTACAGTGTACTTATATACACTACTATTCAAAAGTTTGGAGTAGGTCAGATTTTGTGAGTCTCCTCTGCTCACTAAAGCTGCATTTATTTGATCAAAAATACAGTAAAAATGATAAAATATATTACAAATTAAAATAACTCTTTTCTATTGTAATATATTTTAAACTGCAATTTATTCTAGTGATCAAAGCTGAATTTTCAGCATCATTACTCCAGTCTTCAGTGTCACAAGATCCTTCAGAAATCATTCTAACATGATGATTTGATGCTCAAAAAACATTTATGATTAATATCAATGTTGGAAACTGTGACACATTTTTTCAGGATTCTTTGCTTCAATAGAAAGTTCAATATTTCCAATAGTCATTTTTGATCAATTGAATGCATCCTTGCTGAATAAAAGTATTCATTTCTAAAAAATCTCACTGACCCCAAACCTTTGAATGCTAAAGACGTCCCAATCGAAGCCTTTCAGATTTAATAGTTTTACGAAGTGCCAGTCAGTTGTTTCCAAACACAAAAAAACGATGCTCTGTGAGTTCTCGTTCGCTACACCATGGTGTCGGTGGGGCTGGTCGGACACAGCGTGTCCAGGTGTTGAATGGACGGAGGTCTGTTGGGTGTTTTGGAGCAGAGAAGGACACTTGAGTCGGCTTCACACTTCGTGGTCCTGCCGTGCCACAGAGCTTCAGCCGTCCCGGCCCGTATGGCCATCCCCCCGTCGGACAGCACCTCTGTCTTCACCAAGGGGTTCAGCTTCATCAGCGCGTCCAGAGAGCACTTCTGCCTTTCTTTAAAACCGCTCCCTCGTTCCTCCGTGTCTCTGTCGTCTTTATCCTCCTCCTCCTCCTCCTCTTCCTCGCTCTCGGAGCAGTTTTCGTCTCCCGTGTCTTTCGTGTCTCTGTTTGGGATTCCCACAGTTTTTTTTTTGAGGGATAGATCGAGCGGGCCTTCGTTGGTGCGGGCCGTGCGCTCGAGCGCCTGCTGGATGTGCGACAGCTCGGAGCGGATCTTGCCCAGGTGAGCCCACAGGTGGCACTGCTCGGGCAGCGAGGTGACGCGCTGCTCTGTGTTCTGGTACTGCTGGAGTAATGTGGAGAAGTCCTGCAGGAGAGCAGCTGCCGGGTCCACGTCGCGCTCCATCCCTCTCTGTCTCGCCTCCAGATGCTCAGACATGTGCGGCGGGGACGACGCGTCACTGCGGGGGCTGTGGAAACAGTTTAATTGAATCTAAATACCGTTCATCAAGGCTGTCCTGAGTGTGTAATGCAGAGACCAGATGTAATGCATCTGTGTGTATGTTTATCTTTATTTACCTGCACTTTGGAATGTGTTAACATTATCTTTAAAATCCTCGTCAAGCATGGACATTTTTAGCTTAATTAATTTTGAATTAAGAGTGATCTATGCAGTGTAGAGTTATCCATTTTAATGTTCTTTATAAATAAAAGTTGAGTTTACTTATTTTTCATTATCACACAACAGGCTTCGTAGGCCTTAAAGGAGTAGTTCACTTAAAAAAAACTAAAAAAACTTTTGCTGATCATTTACTTATCACCATGTCATTCAAGATGTCCACGTCTTTCTTTCTTCGGTCGAAAAGAAATTAAGGTTTTTGATGAAAACATTCCAGGATTTTTCTCCATATAATGGACTTCAATGGGGTCCAAACGGTTCAAGGTCCATATGAGAGTTTCAGCGCAGCTTCAAAGGGCTTTAAACGACACCAGACGATGAATAAGGGTCTTATCTAATGAAACGAGCGCTCATTTAATAAATAAATAACAAAGTTTTATAAGCACAAATGTTCGCCTTGCTCTGCGCGTTCGTGACTCTCCTGTTCATCAAAATGAACAAATCTTTTTCCGAGTCATTTCGTTCATTCGATGACTCGAAAAAAGATTCGTTGACCAATCATTTCCCTTAATTATCGTCTGGTGTCGTTTAAATCCCTTTGAGGCTGCACTGAAACTCTTGAACCGTTTGGACCCCATTGAAGTCCATTAAATGGAGAAAATCCTGGATTGTTTTCATCAAAAACCTTAATTTCTTTTCGACTGAAGAAAGAAAGACACGGAAGTCTTAGATGACATGGGGGTGAGTAAATTATCAGCAGTTTTTTTTTTTTAAAAGTGAACTTGGGGTTCTTGTCTTACCTGTTGTGTATAGACATCCTGCTGGACACCAGGGAGGCGATGGATGTCGATTTGTGAGTGTTTTTCAGAGAGTCGAGGGCAAACTCAAGTGCAGGTTTCTTCTCTTCAGGTGCACCATGGGAGTCTAATGATGCTGCTGATCTCTTCAGACTTTGCTCTCTGACGAAGGAAGCGTCTTGCTGCCAGCCGGTCTTCCCTTCCCTGGATCGTATCCTCTCCTTTCCGGCGTGGCTCGGCTCCGGGGAGGAGCGCGTGGGAGACGGCCAGGCTGCGGGTGAGCTCTGGCTGGGCCTCAGGGCCGGCACCTTCCACAGGTTTAGTTTAGGAGGATACGAAGGTGGCGGAAGGCTTACGGTGGGTGGTTTGACGAGTTTGCTCGTCTCAGAGGACGTAGAAGAGGGTGTTGCGCCAAAGCTGTGCTCGCAGAGGAAAGGATAATACAGGTGTGGAGGCAGTAAATTACGCTCTGAGTGTCTGAGTTGCGCGGTTGATGCTAAGAAGGGCATTTGTGCGTTTGTGCTCGTAAGTGCCGGGTTTAGGTATGAAAGGAGTCCGGGAGCCAGTGGGTATCCAACGCCAAGCAAAGACAGATTGAAACCCGTTGTGTCGGGGCATTCGAGTTGACCCGTTGACCCCGGTGGAGGGTAACAGGGCAAAGACGAGGCCACCGGGTCTGATTTGGGCTTTGCTCCTGAAGTCTGATTACTAAGGATTCGCCATTGCTCTGAAAGCAACGCCGCCGATCCCGACAGACACGTTTTCGACAGCCTATAATGTCGCAGTTTTGACTCCACCTCGACCGAGCGCGCTCGTAAAAGTTGCTCCTCGAGCGAGAACACATCGGACATCACGAGTTCGGCTTCTTGCTTTGATCGTTTGCTTCCCCTGGAACACGTTTCCGCCGGTTCGGGACTCACAACCGCTGAGCCGTTCGTCTCCATTGCTTCGTCATCTTTCTCTGCTTCTCTTTCTGATGCCCTTTTCTCATCGACCTCCAGACTGGCTGAATGCGAGGGCTCGTCCGACATCGAGGCCTGCTCGGAGAGAGCCTTGGCGGGGCTACGGGAGCGAACGCCCCCCTGCTGGAGCCGGAGTTGCTCTTTTTTATACGGCCAGTCGGACTCGATGAGCAACGACAGGGAGTTTTTGCACAGGCTGTACTTCATGTGGTTGTACAGATGGGATTTCTCCATGCAGGTGAACGGGCACTGGAAGCATTTGTAGTTGTAGGGTTTGCCCCACGGTCGCGGGATGTAGTGAGGCTTTTTGGGCTTGCGTTCCTTGTGTTTACAGCCCACCTTACAGTCGTCCTTCGACATGGTGCGATCACAATCAGTCCCGGATATGAAAACTGGTTTCTATCAAAGCTAAATATCCGAGGAGGTTGTGTGTTTGTTTATGTGTGCGTTCGAGGACAGGTTTACATTGAGTGTGTGTTTGTAGGATGAATTGTGTGTGAGCAGTAAACTTGTGTTTGGTCAGGACTGGGACGCAGGAACGCAGCCATCAGATTTCAGCTGTTGAGAGAATCAAGAAAATATGTGATTAAACTTTTGATAATAAGAAATTATTAATTAATTAATTATTACTAAAATATTTTAAATTATTATATTTAACAATCTAGATTATATAATGATTATTTTAAGTTATTCAGATAATTATAAAAAAAAATATTATTACTTTAATAATTTAATAATATTCTAAATTATCATATTTAATAATTCTGACTATTTTTTACGGGTAAACAGAATATTTTATTAATGCAGTAATTATTATTTTAGAAAATGAAATAATCATTTTAATGATCAGATTTTAAAGTCATTGTGAAACTATAGTGTTTGCAACCCATTTGCCTTTTGTAATGTGATACTTGGACAGGATTTGGGTTTATTAATTAAACTACTTGTTGTAACCCAAACTTGGTTCAAATATGGTCAAATCCAAATGTTGGGTTAAAAATGTCAAACGCAATGGCTGAGTTTGTCCATATTTGACCCAAAGATGGGTTAAAACAACCCAGCATTTTTAAGAGTGTAGGAATTGATTGGACATTGAAACGTAAGGTTTGATGACATCAGAAAAGTCATTTTGATGAAAGCTTGTGTTCATAATAGACCCCAGAACATGTCGTATGAAAGTAAATGGAGCCAGTTTGGATTGCACAGAGACTTTAACAAAGAGAAAAGATGATGAAAGACGTTTTGGTTTCTCAGAACTGCCGAAAGTCCTCTATCTGCCACCTTTCATTAAGTCCAGGGTTGCCCCAGTGAGGTGTGTGTGTGTGTGTTTCTGGAGGGGCCTGCACCTGTGTTCAGTGTAGTATTTACAGCAGGACCCTGAAGGTCAGCTATAGGCACATCCTGACAAAGGGCAGAGGGACGCGAGGCTGCCCGCTTGTGTGTGTGTGTGTGTGTGTGTGTGTGTTAATGAGAGATTGGCATCAGGCCCGCGAGGCATCGTTAGCAGAAGAATGTGGGTCAAGGCAGATTGACTGCTCTTTTGCCCACTCTCTCTCTATCAGTCTGTCCACCACGATCATCTGTCTCTCGTACGTTACACTGCATGTGTGTGTTTCTCCTCAGTCCTGCAGAGTGTGTTTGTGTGTGTTTCACACTCTCTTTGTCTTCAATCGAAGAAGTTCTAAGGGAATTACTTTAATCCTGCAGTTTGAATGTATCGAATAAGAGGAAATGTCATTCTTTGAGTTTTATTCCTCCCAAAAATTTTAAAGCATTACTGATTTTTTTTCTTTTCTTTTCCCATAGTAATTTTATATGACCATATTATCAACGTCTTAAAAGATTTAACTTCATATAATATGCATTTATGCCTTAAATACACTCTAAAAAATGCTGGGTTGTTTCAACACAAATGTGGGTCAAATATGGACAAACCCAAATTTTGGGTTAAAAATGCAATAATAAAATTTACAGTTGAAAGTAAAAGTTGCAGTTGGGTTGAAATTTGAAATTATATATTTTTTTACCCAACATTTGGGTTTGTCCATATTTTACCCAAATATGGGTTCAAACCACCCAGCATTGTTTAGAGTGTATGATCTGATCATTGGTTTTCAAATATAAAATCATTTGCTAAATAAAACTAATTAATTTATTATATTTTATCAGATTCCATTTTACTTAATTTAACCTTATGTTTTATAGAACAACTAAAATCTAGATAAATATGCATAAAATACATCTTTTCAGATATATTAGAAATACAACCTCTAAACAATGCTGGGTTGTTTTAACCCAAATTTAGGTCAAATATGGACAAACCCAAATGTTGGGTTAAATTTGAATTTAAATTTTTCAAATTCTTTCATTTCTTTCAAAAACTTTCACTCTCAACTGTAATTTTTTAATGCATTTTTAACCCAACATTTGGGTTTGTCCATATTTGACCCAAATTTGGGTTGAAACAACCCAGCATTTTTAGAGTGCATGTTTCTTTTTTTTAAAGTTTGAAATATTTTCATTCACAATTAAGAATCAGAAGTCTTTTAACACTATGACACTATTGCAATTTAATGCAGTTTAGCGTACTAATTCAAAGCTATTTAATTAGCAACATTTCAGTGTTACATCTACAGTCTTTCAGAAAGAACCAACTACACTGATGTAATGTAACTAATAATTTTTGTTATTAATAAAAGCATTAAGAATAGGAGATGGTGAGAGCAATTCAATAATGGTGTAATTAAAAGAGAAGCGTTATGATATCTCTGTGAAAAAAATCTTCTTTATTCTTGATTATTTATTTTTTGCTCCTGGCATTTTCCTTTGAGTGGAAAGAGAGAATGAAAAGAGAAGAAAATGAAGCAGATTACAGGCAGGAAATAAAGAGGAGGATGAAATGTCCCGCTGTGAGGCATGAGTTTAGTGGCTCGTGTCTCGGGGTGTAGAGACAGCGAGAGCCCGAAGTGATCTGGGTTTGAAGAAGACGAGTGGCGAGGAGTTTCACACATCTTTCATCTATTACAGCACTCAAAGAAATAATGCAATCACTTCTGCAACTTTCTGCTGCAATCTAATCCTGGCAGTATTACACAGCGTATCTATGGCAGTTCTGCATGCTATAGATCATTTACAGGAACAGTGTGTGTGTGTGTGTTGTGTCATATTGCAGTTGTGCTCAACCCGTTCTGTGGTTTTAACTGGACATCAAATGCTGCTGTTAGCGTTAATCAATAAAATTATTTTAGAGTTGTTCTCACTGCGGGACATTCTTTGTGGTGTGTGTGTGTGTCAGTTTTAAGGCCCTCGGGGTTCGGTCGGACGCTCGCATGGACACACTCTGATCGCTGTGTGTTAAATATGTATTGTCTCGTTTAAATAGGGACGCTTGCTAAAAGCATCGACATACTGTGGTGGAATCCAAGAACCGAGAACACACACACACACTTACACACACAGGGCAGCAGCGAACAAAACGCATGGATTGATATATTGGCATGTAATATATTTTAAAGTTTTAAGTGGCTATTGTTTGAAATTAGAGCATTGTTTTGGTGTGTGTGTGTGTGTGTGTGTGTGTCGTACCTCCACAGTGGTTCAGCAGAATGAGTTGGATCATGACACTTGAAGTTTTCTCAATTTATGCAGAATCTGAAAAATAAACGAGTATCTAAAATTAATTTCAGCTTTGATTCTGTCAGTATTACTATAGATTTAATGTTAAATGACAATCTCCCATCACTCTATCTGAAGTACGTGATTGATTAGAAATACGTTTTTATATTCATCAAAATATGTATTTAATAATAAAATAAATGCAGATCAATTCATTTAAAACAAGGTATTATTTTAGAAATTCTGTATTGTACTTTAAAGGCCAGGGTGGCCAATTTATTATTATTATTTATATCATATGTCTTTATGTATAGCCTGTTTTATTTATGGTTGCATACATGCCTATAAAAAGCTGCTATCGAACATATTGCCATCAAACAACCTAGATAGCAACATTTAAACAGAGAGACAAGTATGAAATAAATGAAACAGCAGAATAAAGTCAACAGATATTGTACTAAATTCTATGCAGTTGCAACATTTGAAACAGATGTGACAACATGCCCCCATGTAAATCAGACACTGTGGCCCGACAAATTTAAGAAGAAAAAAAACAACTTTTTGCTTAGAATTTACTTTTGAAACACAGATGAACCTGACTTTGTATTCCAAGTGTACTTTAATTATAAAATATTACAAAAATGAACTATAGGATTTTAGTTTTGCACATAGAATTTCCACAAATATTCCATTTAAAGATAGTTTTGAAACCAACACACAAAACCACTCCTAGATTGTGTAATTACTCAAAACCTTATATAGAGATACTGTAAAACACACGCAACAACGTCTATTTCCACATATCATATTTTCACATTGTCACATACATACGTACACCTCTTTAAAAAAAATGAATCAAGACTAATTTGATTGACATCTCAGTAGTTCATCTCAGTAAATGCACAACGCTTGAGTTACGCGCCACAATCACACTAGTACACATAAAGCCCTAAACTTATGCCACAATAACTTTTACCCGCAGATAACGGCTTGGCTTACCTGCTGTGCGTCTGTGTCATGTTGTGTTCCAGAGGCGGCCGCTGATGTGCGTTCGGTGTTTTATGAGGGGAGAGCGCGCACACACACACACACACACACATGGATGAACAAGAGAGAGAGGCAGATATATATATTCTCTAGGAGGGATGCCTTGGGGCAGTACAATCAGGCACAGGCCCCTCCTGCCTCCCTGCTATTGGCACAAGCTCAAGTGGGTCCAAATTAGGAAAACCTGCCCGGTTCAGTCCATTAAGGAGAAGGCGAGACACTTGGCGGGACAGTTTACTTAATTTGGCCGCCGTGCAATTTGAAGTCACTGATGGAAACTTTAGCAACACTTTATGGACTTGATTCAGGTTCAGTTTAGTGTGTTTTATCGCCATAACAAGAACTGTTCATTTGTATTGCCAAAAGCAGTGCAAAAAAAAGTTTTAATAAACTTAAAATTAGAAATTTTAATTAACTATTATATTGGCAAAGTCTTAATAAACTTAAAAATATAAATTTTAATTAAAAAAAATTATTAAATATTATATTGGCAAAAGCAGTGCAAAAAGTTTTTTTTTAATAAAACCATAGTAATAATTTAAAAAATGTGATATTGTATTGTATACACTGCATGTATAATAAGAATTGTACATAATAAGCATAAAAAATAAATAGATATAACCGTATTTAAGTTAAAAATAAAATATTATATTGGCAAAGTAGTGCAAAAAGGTTTTTAAAATATAACCACATTTAAATAAAAAATTAGATTATGTGAAATATTGTATTCCAAAAGCAGTGCAAAAAAGGTTTAGCCAATTAAAGTTGAACCATATTTAAATAAAAATGTAAATTAAATATTGTTTTGCCAAAAGCAGTGCAAAAAAGGTTTTAATACCAATTAAAATTAAACCATATTTAAAAATGCTTAATTTAATTAAAATACTATTAAATTAAATAAATATTTAATAAAAAATAATAATGATTTATAAATTATATTAAAATATTATCAACTTATACACAGAAATTGCAACATTAAAGCGATTTATTTTTCACTTATTTATTTATTTATTTTTTGCCATTGATTTTTATTCTAAGGCAGAGAGCAGACTGAATATTGTTTAAAATATGTCCTTTTTTTGTGCCACAGGAAAAAGAAGCTCATACGGGTTTGGATGGACATGAAGGTGAGTAAATGATTGATTTCTGAATGAACTATTTCTTCATTTGAGCAGCAGTGAACTGTAGTCTCACCATCAGAAAGTCCAGAAGCTTGCGGATTACTTTATGGACTTCTCTCCGTCTCGAACTCTCTCTCTCTGCGTTTGCGGTTTGACCCAGTTTCTGTCTGTAGACGAGCACGGAGCTGCAGAATCAAGTTTTAATGTGCATTGCTAACAGTGCATGACAGATCAGTAAATAAAGGCCAGCCACCATCAATCATTAATAACATAAATGCGGTTTGGATGGAGAAAGCTTGAAGGTAGCTCTGAAAAATAAGCTTTCAGAATAATCTAGACTTCACTTCTCCGTGTCGTTGAGATGTTTCAGTATTGTTCTCATCAGTGTTTCTGCGGTCGTGTCCATCTGTGGTTCTCAAGCGTAATCCAGTGGTTTCTCTCCACAACCTGCATAATTTAATATCTTTAACGCAAACTAGCCACAAAATTCACTCACGACTGCAATAGTTATAAAGGACATCTCTGTGATGATGTTTGGTCTTGAGTACAGTAGTCAGATAACTTGTAAATGAGACAGTTTCGTCAAATTCTTTTATCAAGGAATTATTTTTAACATTTATATAAAATGTAGCATTAAAAATCAAATCAAATGTTAAAGTTTATTTATAAATTTTTTAAGCTCACATGTGGCATTTAAAAAAGTGAGAATACACTGTTTTTAAGGTGTCCTTGTAACAGTGTAATTATACATTGAAGTGTAATATTAATCAACATATGCTTACTATAGGATTAGGGTTTGGTTTAGCATGCAATTATACATAATTTACTGTTTTTACAACATTTAACTGTAACAAAGACACTGTAAAATAAAATGTAAATTTATTTGAGAAGCAAAATTGCATGATATATTAAGACTTGTTGTCAGAGAGTTTAATTGAATTAAAAGAATTCATTATCAATTTAAATCAAATTACATATTTTTGTTCCATTAGACTCAAGATTATGCTTTCAAGTCACATTTATTTATAGCACTTTATACAATTCAGATTGTTTCAAAGCAGATTCACATTAATAAACAGGAAAAAAACGTCTCATTTTATGCTGAATATTGATTATTTCGATTGTTTTGAGGATCTTTGGTCACTCTTCATTTTAAGGTGTCCTTGTTACAGTGTGATTATACATTTAAATACTGAGTATATGAATGAACTACATATGGTTAGGCTTAATTTCATATGTAGTTATCCATGATAGTTAATAGCTACTATACTATGTAAAAAGGATCCAATAACACACTATTTTGAAGTGTCCTTCACTCTAAAAAATGCTGAAATTTGGGTCAAATGTGGACAAACCCAAATGTTGGGTTAAAAATGTAAATGTACAGTTGCAAGTGAAAGTTGAAGTTGGGTTAAAATTTTTAATTCAATTTTTAACCCAACATTTGGGTTTGTCCACATTTGACCCAAATTTCAGCATTTTTTAGAGTGAAGGACACTTTAAAATAGTGTGTCATTGGATCCTTTTTACGAAAACGACTTAAAAAATACTTATTTTGTTAAAGACAACTCATTATTCACATTGTGCACAGTGGAAGTCCACCATGTTCGGGGTCTATTATCTGCATGGTTTAATGTAGACTTATCTAATGTCAGCACATCACCGAAGGATCCAGTGACCGATATGTGTCACGCGTCAGACAGAGAGACAGCGAGTGTTTATGAGCACAGGTCCTTTGAGAAATGTCAGTGTGTTTGTAGGGGGGGTTGAGCCGCTCCTGGAGGATCAGGCGTGCTGTCACACACACGAGAGGAGATGAACTGTGACAGCGTGATCCGTAGGGCTTAACCATCTGTAGAAACAGAGCGAGGGGGAGACTGAAGAAACTTACCAGTTATCGGTGAAAGCCAGAAGCACAAGGGCTTTCACGAGGAGGAACGTTTCGTTGTTTCGTCAACAGTTTGTTGTGTCATTCAACGAACATAAAAAGCATTACCGTACACTAGAAGTCATATAATATATTTTAGTGAGGAACTGACCCAAATTTAAAGGTGCATTGCGCAACATTTCATGTTAAAAATAGCCGTTTTTATATCATACATTCCTAAACAATCGCCTGATGGGCTGAATGAGCCCTTCTCTGATCACTGCGATCGCCTCTATAATCCTGTACAGTAAAATAAATAAGAGAGATTCGGGACGGACTTTGAGACTGACGTTATGCGCCTGGCTATGTCTGTGTATTCAGTTTAAAGCTAGACTAAAGACGCATTTATTTAGCCTGGCATTCATATAATTTTTTTATCTTACAGTTACTGTAAATTTGGCCTCTAGAGGAGAACTGGCCCCTGACTGAGCCTGGGTTCTTCCAAGGTTTTTTTTTTCTCCATTGGGTCATCTGATGGAGTTTTAGGACACCATCGGGTCACTTGATGGAGTTTTTCGGTTCCTTGCCAATGCTTGCTCAGTTGGGGATATTCAAATTAAATGACCCATCATACCATTGATCAGCTCCACCAAACTTGATTTTCTTTTCATAATTAAACAAACACTGTGATGTTGTCTTGATTGATGCTGTGAAGCAGCTTTGATACAATCTGTATTGTGAAAAGCGCTATATAAATATATTTGACTTGACTTGACTATTCGCCGCCATTCTCCGTATCAGCGAAGACAACTCGAGCGACAAAACTTTACTCAACTTTCCACAAAAGTAGACGATGGATTCAAAGAGACCGGCTTGTAGTTCATTCCAAACCCCGACGCAAACTCCATGTCAGACAAAGAAGATAAAACGTTTGTCTAGTGCCAGGCGTCGGAATAAGACGAGAGTCAACATCGGGAAGCTTCCAACAAATGGAGAGATCTCCGGTCGGCTCTAGGGCTCAAACGGGTCAAAGTAAGAACTTATATTGTTCATGAGCGTGTTTCCAGAATAATACAATCATACAGTAAACACATAAAACAGTTCAACATGGAGATAGATGGAAACAAAAACCGAAGTTTTCCCCTCACACACACATAAGTGTGTAATTTACTCAAATGCCTTTCCTTTCATATATTTAAAATGACTTGCAGATTTATAACTTTATTACCTCTGAAGACATTATGACTTTAACAAAAGATTTGTGCGGCTGATGCTCCTTTGGTTATGAACGGCTTGTGCAAGCGTGTGTGTGTGTGGTCCATGAGTGTGCACACCTCTGGTTGCAGTTTCGCTTGTCGCCAGAGGGGGCGTAGTTCTGCAAAAACGTAGAGACTTGCGCAATGCACCTTTAAGACTCACTGCTGTGAGATTTTCTTAGTATTTTTGTTTTGTTTTCTACATGATTAATAAAAAAATATATGATATGGGGGGGGGGGGAATATTGTCTATGCTTTTGCTTTCCCTCGCAAAAATGTTTGCGTTCTGCTGATAAACTTTGCGTTCCCTCGCAAAGAGCGCAAAAGGTTTCAGATGAACGCAAGCGAAAGCAAAGTTTCTCACGGGAAAGCAAACGCATCTGTACTTTTCCACTATAATTATCAAGTAGTTCTTAAATCGAGATACATTTAATTGAGAAGGATTGTTTTAATCATTAACTCCACTTAGTTTTGATACATTTTTTACATTTTAAACCAGGCTTAAGTCATCTCAGTGCCCCAGTCATGCTTGTTTCGGATGTAATATTACTTGTGTAATATAGCTTTTTGTTAATGTGAAAGTTTCAGAAAACTATTTAGAAATTCAGATATGCTAATGAAGGTTAATCGGTAGACCAATCGCAACAGACTGGGACATCTGACCAATCAGAGCAGAGTCTCAGTCAGGAGGAGTTTAGAGAGACACTGAGGGAAATGAACTGATGCTGCGATGTATAATTATGAGAAAATGACCTTGGAAACAAAATTAGTATGTTTTATATTTGAAGAGTTCAGATGCAAAAGCCTCTAAGTGCCATTTGAAATTTTCTTCTAAAATGATCATTTTTATCAAGCTTGTATATTTAAGTTCAGTAATTTCACTTAAATGGCAATACAGATTACCTATTAATTGTCATTTAAGTGAAATAACTGAACTTAAATATACAAGCTTGATAAAAATGGTCATTTTAGAAGAAAATTTCAAATGGCATTTAGAGGCTTTTGCATCTGAACTCTTCATTTGTTTTACGACAAATATTTTAAGAATGAATTTTCGCAGTGCATGACCTTAGCTGACTAGTTCATGATTTGCATGGAATATCTAAAAAATATATAATCACACATGAATCTCCTCTGGAGTTTAAGAAGAAACGTCTCAAACTGTGCTCAGAAATGTCAAGATTGCAATATTAACAATAATAGCTCAGAAGATTGCATGATCTGAGCTGCCATCCACATTCATTTGACAGCTTTTGTCTCATTTGTGTCTTTTTATTTCTCCTAATGAACGAAGTATATAAATGAAACGCACAGAGTCTTTGAGCAATGAAAGAGCATCCTCTGAGCAAAAGATTTCCTTGGGCACTTTTTTCCACATTATTTTGAACTACTCGCTGATTCAGTGTGTGTGTGTGTGTGTACCTGGAGATAATGAAGTGTGTGTGTGTGAAGATGAAGATGAAGTAGAGATTGTGTGTCCGTATGTTCAGGCATCTGTGAGCATGACAGCTCAACTTCATTATGAGTCAGAGAGAGCAACCTTAGGCCAACACACACACACACACACACACACACGCTGCTGGGTCAATACAGCGATCCAGCTGTGCAGTAATACATTTTCACAGGGTACACCATTACTTTAATTTCAACACATTTATCAATTAGATTACACACACACTCTCCTGACGGTCCTAAACTCGGTGAATGCTTTACAATGATAAGAAAATGTAATTATAATTCTACATAATCATTATGTGTAGGTTTGTGTTGGTTTCTGTATTTATGTTGGGTGAGATAAAAAGACAAGCAAATATTTTTTATTGTAATAAGATACAACCGTAATCCACTTTATTTGAACACACTGATTACTAAAACATATCTTT